GTGTGAAGCCATAAAAAACACTGACTTTGAAGAGGCCCGTTAGAGGGCCTCCTTCACTTGAGAATTACATAGTACTGTATAGTATGGTGTGTTGTGTTGTATGCATGGTAATAACAGGTACAATTCGGGTTTTATTTTTTTAAAATCTTTTACTTCAATTTTTATGACGTCATCACCTTTATATTACGTTCGTAAAATCGGGAATTCGTAAAATCGGGGTTCGTAAATGAGGGGTTCTACTGTACTGAAAAAAGCAATGGGCCAAGTATGGACCCTTGTGGTACACCAACAGTAATAGGTTTTGAATCTGACAAAGATGACTTAATATTTACAATTTTTGATCTGACAGGTAGAATCCAAACCAGTCTATGATTGATGGTATGAAATGTAATCAATACCAAATGCAAATGTTGAGATATCTACCATACTTACAATATACAATGAGGATGGATGAATCAGAATTTATGTAGTCTCCAGTTTGTGTCTGTATCTGACATTGAAATCTTCTATTAGTATCATTCCTTACTGGCTGTGCGATAACCAGGTCAGCATTCCCAGGAGTTATTCTCAAGCTGTAACGTCCATTGACAGTCTTTATATCATTTACAATACCTAGTTTAATACTTTTTCCTGCTTCATTTACTTCATTCCATATGATAACTCTAGGTGTAGAGGTAAATTTTGAATAGTCACATGGTATCACTACATCATCATCACCTTCTTTGGCCACTTCATTAGATGTTACCACTGACTGGCTATATACTTTTAAAAAAAAACAAAAAAAAAAACCTTTTATTATAAATTTATATTGAAGATGAGACTTGCTACAGCATATTATGCTAACATTAGCAGAAATAAGGAATCAGATTTTTTTTTCTAATTACAAAAGGTCTCTTAGAAATTGAAAACCTCAATATTAACCTATAGCATCTAGCTACAGAATATCATGCACTGTTTCAGAAATATGAGGAACATGGTCAGCCAGCTCATTATTCATATTAGGTAATAATATAGATAATATATGCATATTTTAAGGAAACATGTATTTATTGTAAGCTTTTTCTGACACTCCAGTCAAAACAAATGTAAATTAACTGAGAGATGGAACAAGGGACTTGTAAAAGGTTGAATGCATGGTGCTGGTTGCCAAAGGAATGAAGTAATCTTAGGGCCTGTTTCTGCTGAGCAAAAAAACGTGTTTTTAAATGGTACGTGTTTTTTCCCCAGTAGAAACGGGTCACAAAACAAAATCACGGTTAGGAATGCATTCTAAAATTGCATGTTTTACATACATTCGTTATAGGGTTTGCATTCAGAAAACGCGTGTTTTGTGGTACACTTTTCAGCTGCAACGCATGACGTGTAAGGTCAGCTTCAACTTCCGGTGGTGACCGTCATTTAAGCTCCTCCCACCTGCCAATGCTCACATTACCTTGTTTTTATTAGTTGCACTTTTTCACTAGAAACGCGTTCAGAAGGAATTTAACTGTTTATAAAAAACATGTTTTTGGCGTTATTCAGCAGAAACACGCCCTTACATTTCATATTTGGATAAATGGACGAAAATATGGATATGGATGGATGAAATAAACAATTTTAACCATTCATAATGCTCATGTTTTTGGAGCCATGAACGTGTACAATACTGAATAACTCACATTGACCAGTTATCCTGGCTAAAATATAATACCCCCTATAAACAGGCCAAAAATCCTAGTATTAGTAGTAGAACGAGTGAGCAGTGACAGCGACGAATCAAGCCTAGGCTAGGCTAGGCAGCCCATACAGGTCTCTCCCTCCAAATAAAGACCACTTTTGGGACTGGGGTTTTGGTGGTCTTTAGCAGCTTTGGTCCTAATTAGAATCCCCAAATTAAAGGCTGGCACTAAAAGTGGTCTTTAAAATCTTTATTTAGAGGGAAATTAAGAATTGATATAGTAAATGTAACCTCATTTTAAGTGCTTTAAAATGGATTTACAATTACTGTATGCTGTTATTGATTCTTAAAACACAAAAATATTAGCCAATGCACATCATAATTAAGACAATAATTTGTGTATATTGAGTTAATGTTAGTGCCTAATATAGGATCTATAATCTCTGCCCATAATAAAGCCATACTAAAAAATGACAAGGCAGAAGACAACTGCAAGCTATGCAATTGCCGAAACCATAACGAATGCCCACTATCTGGGAAATGTCTAAGTAGCAGCGTAGTATACCAAGCTACAATTAGTAGGGATGACAATAATGAAGTTGAAACATACGTTGGTCTTACGGAAAATACCCATCTTGAGAGCATGTATGCTTAAAGGGTATCCCCATCTTGCAACTTCAGCAGCTGTCTGAACAATCATTTAAAAGCAGATACAATGGGCATACCTGCTCATTCCGTAATGATAAATACAAGAATAACACTACACTTAGCCAATATGTTTGGAAGCTTAAAGAAGATGACATAAAGTACAAAATTAAATGGCATATATAATCTAAATGTAAATCATATTCCAACTCTACCAAACAATGTAACCTTTGTATACAAGAGAAGTATTTTATTATATGTCAACCCGAAATTTGTACTCTGAATCAAAGGAACGAATTATTCAGTTCATGTAGACATAGACACAAGTTCTTGTTATGATATACTACTTAATCCTGCAGGCTTTCTTTTATCCATCTAAACAATAGAGACTTAATCACTTGGTAATTAACATACTTTTGTTCTGATAAACTGTCACAATCTATGTGCTTCATTATTCCTTCACTAAGAGCCTAGCACCTGATGATTGAGGTACCCCTCATGAAACAGCCTGTAGTGCAATAAAATGTTGAGTCTTTAACCCAGTGTTACATGTTTTATTTGTCTATCTGCTCTGCTATATACTGCATTGAGCACTCTTGTCTACATGATCTGGTTTAAGCCAACCACGCAGATTATATACATATATATATATAAAAACGGCATAGGCATGTGTTGCACATATGTTCTACTAATTATAAAAGATACTGTGTGTCGGAGACAAACAATAAAAGATGAATTGACGTGTTCCGGAACATAAATATATTTTATTATAACGGATATTTCGTCCTCATCCTAAGGAGTAGTCACCATTATTTAATATCATACAACCCGTCCTTTACAAAACCTTGTTGACGTGATAGGCCTAGATGTGTATAAGAGACAACACTTACCCAATGCCAATAAAATGTTTAAAACACTCTTTATTACCAATAAATTGGTTAAAAAAGGCGACCATTTTGAATTTCAAAATGGAGGCCCAAGGAGTGGATGAAAAAACTGGCACCCACTTTTTTCTTGATCAGTAGTGTTTTTAGAGTTGTTTTAACATAATTGCCAAGAATCTACCAAAGATTTTGCTTTTTCTACATAAGACAACAGACTACAGTTCATTACGTTGTTCAGGCCAAGAACTAATGTACTAACTTTTTTAATTCGAGTAGGTAGGCAAAAGGGAGGCCTAGTTGAGACACTCAGACATCGTCCATCTTTTGAATTTGATAACACTTTGAGATTAAATATGCATGAAGTAAGCCACTTCTGAAATCAGCCATGGCATGCATATGACATCACACACCAAATTTTATATGTAAAATTGTATGCATGAATGATCTGTACATCTGACGAAAATCATCACAAATTTGTAGATTGTATTCTTATAATCTACCATGAATGCATTTACTTTGACATTGAAACAGATATGTTTGACATTAATGATGGCGTTAAACAAGGTTGTCCACTGTCTCCAATCTTATTTACCATGTATATTAGTGAACTTAATAACAAAATAATTAAAGAAAGAGACCTAGTAATTAATATCTTTGATGCCAAAATTGGCTGCCTATTCTGGGCAGATGATATCATTTTAATTGGAGACAGTAACAAGAATTAAACTTACTTTTAAATGCAGCAAATTAATTTGCAACACAATGGAAAATGTTATTATAACGCCACAATATACATAGGAAATGGCCAATTGGTAACACCTTTATTAATAAACTAACACACATAAATACCTTGGAATGTTGATATCAAGTAAAATTAAAGACACCTGTCAGATAGACGAAATAGAAAAAAAGGAAATAGTCATGGCATATATAAAGTCAGTCATTAACGAACATGATGACTTTAATAGAATCTACTATGGCGATATTCTCTGGAAGTCAATTGGTATACCAAACTTACGCAAGTAACATATGGTTCTGTGACAATAAGACTTCCATGCAAAAATTTGAAAATATTCAATACCAAATGGCTAGATTCTTTTTAAAAGCACCCAGATATGTTGCATAGGAAGCTCTCTATGGTGAACTAGGGTGGCAGACAATAGAATCCATACAGACAGAAAGAATATTAACAAAATTTCACAGACTTCAAGATATGGAAGAGCATTGTTGGCCACGTTTACTTTTTAGAGCTCTCTTTGCACTAAAAAATATTGAAATCCTCTTGAATAAGTTTGAGTTAGAAAGGCATTTTAATATTGATTGTAACACAAAATGGCTCAAATACATTAAATAGAAAATTACAATACAAGATAATTATATAAAATGGTTTAATAATGCTCAAGCTAAATCATCATTAGAAAATATAAAAAAAAAACCAACAATGGAAACGTATTTATTAGAAAGGGACAGCTACCATGCAACAAAACCTAAAATTTAAAGCCCGAACTAATTCATTGCCTCTTGAAGGCAGAAAACAATCGTAGAGAACCTATTTTTAAAAAACTACAAGAAGAACTATGAATACGTTATTTTCATTGCGGATTTGTTGGGCTCAGTACGGACTCCAAAAGTATGCATTTTCTTTTAGTTTTAAGGCGTATGCGGATTTTATAAGTCCGCAATGACGATATAACATGTTTATACCACAATGACCTAAATCTAGTTTGTAACTTATTTATTTCGGGTTCCCCGGAACTTAAGTATCACCTTTTTCTAGATGATCTTGAAATTCATTATGAACACCAAATTATAACAAACCCAATTTTAACTTATTTTACTTATGAAATGGCAGGAAAAATCTTTAACAAATATTGTAAAATTTTTTTAACTAAAGCATGGGAAGAACGTAACAAAATCTATAATACTTTTTCATAAATAGACTTGTTGGAAAAGAAAGAAAAATGAGAAAAAAAAAAGAGAAGGCGAAGGGGGAAGAAGAGGGGGAAGAAAAAAAAAGAAGGAAAAGGGGAAGAAGAGGAGAGAGAGAAAAAAAAGAAAATGTGGAAGTGGGGAAGAGAAAAAAAAGAGGAAAGAGAGAGGAGGAGGGAGAGGGGTAGAAGAAAAAAGAGAGGAAAAGGAAAGGAAATGGAAGGGGGAGGGAAGAGAGAAAAAAAAATTATTATTATCGTTTTTTTTCCCTTTCTTTTTCTATTCTTTTCTTTTTTCTTCCTAAGTTTCATTTATGTTTCTTTTCAGTTTATTCAGATAAAGTGTAATGCATTCTCCGGGAGATGGAATGCGGAATGCGCACCGTCGAGTTTCGGCATTGGTCATGCATCGTCAGGAATTCCTGGCAATGGTGTGAACGGTGTCGAGCACGGTGGCGTGTATTTCATTTCTTGGGATTCGTACTATAATTTTTTTTTTTATTAGTTAAGTAAAAAATTCAAAATACAGATAAAGTATTAATTAGACAGTGTATTAGTTAAGTAAGAAATGTCTACAGCAAGACAATGTACATTTGTAAACGCACCACTTGATAGTGTGTGCCACTGATATAAAAGTGTACGATTCAATAAAGTTATTATTATTATTACATATGTTATTATTACTCTTATATTATGAATTATTGTTGCACATCTCTTTAGCGATTGTGCCTCTGTTACAAAAGAGAAACAATAAAGTTATTATTAATTACTTTAATATTGACTTTGTATTAACACCATAAAATTAAGATATGTACTGAGTTTTATTACAATATAGAAAATGTGACTTCAATATTGACAAACGACCTTGTCAATTTATGTAGTCACCATTATTTAATATCATACAACCCGTCCTTTACAAAACCTTGTTGACGTGATAGGCCTCTGCTGACATTAAAGTGCCAAGACCATACAAAATAAGAAGCTGGCAATATTTCATCATGTGCTTGTCATGAGCTCGTGAATATTCGATCAACAGGAAATTTATTATTAAAACATATGTCTAATGACATACAATCTGTACAGAGTTACCTCAACTTACCATTTGGTGCACTCAGCAACAGAAGTAAAACCAAATACAGTAGTAAGAACTGGAATAAACAATGAATATAAACAAGAAATAATATACAAATTTACACTACATTATTATTATAAATTAATCTTGTTCTATTTTCACATTCATATTCTCCATTTAGTGTGTTTATTTTTAAGACAGTATGTTTATTGGAATTTAATGTGTAATGTGGTGTTTTATTTAAATTTCTTTTCTAACATTTAAATCATGCCAAGTAAGTCAATTTTATGTACTGTATTACAAGTACAGACAATAAAGTTTCTTGAATCTTTAGTTTTGACAATATTTTACATTCCAGAATTTTAAGAAAAATATTTCAATATCTATACTTATTTTGTAATGTATAGATAATTAACAGATAAAATTTCTTAAATGTAAATATGAAATAAGAAATGACTTACAATATTCTTTGTTACCAGCCACATTGTTTACCTGCAATAAAAATAATCAAGTTAGTTTACTTCTTGATACAAATAGTGGTGAAGTGTTTGTATTGATGCCATAGGCTTGGCCAGACAGCAAGATGTTTGGTCTACTTTTAGACGGCCAACAATTATTTAGGACGGCCACTTTTACCGTTATGGGCCTGGTCTACCTTTAGCATAAACTTATATTCTTCAAATCTATCAATTGTTACATTAAACTAAATCTAAATTATATTTACGTTTGATAAAAACAACCTTTATTGATTGAATGTACATTGTTTTCATACTACAGTAATATTCGGTGTTGATCCCAAAAATGTAAGGCTTAACCACTGCCTACCCGGTGAGAAGTTCATTTACAAAACGCATTGTTTATACCCCGCTGAAGAATGGACGGTTATGAGTCGCCCACAAAGCCTACGTGGCTCTGCAAATACAATACAGTACTTGAGATTCGATTCCATGACATAATATTGTTGTGTTCGTAATTCTCTGGTTATAATTAATTCATGAAATACATTAAAGATGATTTGTTGTTAACATCACTTAATATTGGAAAATCCATAGTACAGGATTTGCCCGACGAGGAGGGCCAATGTCCCGACGAAAAAAGGTGAGCATGGTCGGGCGTCCCTCAATATCCGTCGAAAATTAGTGTTCCACGGGGCTCCCACCCCCGAAAAAAA